GCTTGAGATCCAGAGTTGGCTCGAAAGTTCTTCATTTCTGCCACTCGGCTTGCCGGATTACTGCCGGAGTGAGATCCGCGCCTGTGGATATTTACCTCGCTTTCGAAACCAAGTCATTGGGCCCCCGTGCCCCAGCTCCATCGACGTCGGGCTCTCGCGATTGAGCCTCCACATCTTTGGCTATACCGGCTTCTGATAGCGCGACAGTCATCTGAACTCCTCATTTTTCTCTCTCAAGGGCGAAAAGTAAGAAATCAATTCGAGGAGCCGGAGAACGGAAAGGCGAAATGTAAGACCTGCAGGGAGAAGTACGTTTCCTACGCGCACAGTAGCACTACTGCTATGCGACGACATCTCGAATCCGCCAGCCATCGGAACGCCTGCAGGGTGAAGGCTGGAGCTGGGCCTAGACCCGCTCGTGAGGCGCGGAGGGTTGGAATCAGGAAGCGTCTCCAATGTAATTGTTACACCGTCAAGCGCACTCCCGAGCTGAAGAAGTGGCTTGTGGCTTCATACGCAAATGTGTGCCACATTCCTCTGGAAACACTCTCACATCCGGCCTTTCGTGTACATTTCTGGTTGAGCAATCTGGGGACTATTAACTCAAAGCTCGCTCGCAAGATCACCGATGATGAATACGAGCGAATCCGGAATCTCCTTGTGACGGAATTCGCGGAGTTGAAGAAGAAAGGAGCGATCTTCACATTAGTCGCCGATGAGTGGGAATGGAATAATAAGCGATTCCTCGGAGTCGTTCTCCGTTCCACGGAAGTAATACCGAGTATGAGTTCGAAGTCAATGGAGCTCTTTGTGCGTTTCAAGGAAGCGGCTACTGCTTCGACCTTGCTCGAGGCTATGAAGAGAGCACTCCTACTTCTCGAGCTGACAATCCAAGATATACGTGGCATGACAACAGACGCCGCTTCTGCGATGGTAAAAGTCGCAAAGCTCATCGAGGTCGAGAACGCACCGAGGGTATTCTTGCATCAGCGATGCTTTGCTCACGGAATCCACCTAGCCGTGCTCGAAGCGCTCAAGGGGAGCTCTCAAAGCGACCCAAATGCACATGCAGATGCAAGCCAGAGGGATACCATATTCTTGGATGTGTATGGCGAAGGTGACTACCCTGTAGAAGAAAGCGGAGTCAATCCCACGCAGGGGGCAGGCCAAGGTATTGAAATCAATGACTCCTCGAACCTTCTGCAAGTCATCAAGAAAGTTCGCTGCATCTCCAAGGCTTTTAAAGCAAGCGGAAAGAAAGGCGATGATCTTGAACGTATATGCCGACGCCTGAACCCAGGGTCTAAAGTCCTACAGCTCCTGCCGGACGTTACCATAAGGTGTGCTCTTGATCTTACCCAATGCGAACGACACGAGAATAGCTCTTCGATGCCGTGGGTCGTGGGTTGGTGATCTAACACAGGCGGGATGTAATCTCCGCATTTCTCATACGGAAGCGAAAGTTTCACCCGCGCGATATTTTCACCGTGAACCGACCCTTCGTTCGCCGATCCTCTCCATGTAGTTCGTAGATACCTAGGCTTCTAAGTCGGAGGTGACTTCCGCAATCCACTACGAAGTCGATCTCTCGATCTTTAGGCCTAACTCACGAATCGATACGTGCGCATTAACTTCTCTCCCTAATCGTGCTCCTGTACGCGCAGATGGAACAGCACCGTCCGTATGCTGGTACAATTTGTGAAACTGGAAAAGGCACTCGAAGCCTACTATGAAGAACGAAGAGAAAGCTTCCCCTTGACAAGAGAAGAGTTGAACTCCATCAACAGCATCACACCTGCCCTTGAGTGTGTCCAGGAAGCTTCCCTAAGACTTTCAAAGGACAGTGCCACTTTATTTGAAGCGGATATCACGATCGAGGTGAAAAAAGGAGTTCTCATATTACATATTGGGTAAGTCGAAAACTTCGTAGCACATTCTCATTGTGCAGAATGAAAAGTGCTACGAACTTTTTGACTAAACCAATATAATCATTAATAGTACATAGTACATCGTGTCGATACAAATGTGTGCAATCGGATGTGTCAGAACCTGATATCGCTCTTCCCAACAGTTCATGTTCGTCCAACTGGAAAACTTATGCCGTCCTGCACATTCGCCTTTCGTAAGAACACTCCGCGAGGCTTTGAGAAAGCACATTGCCAAGCGAAGAACCGCGGCATCGCGGTGCGCCGTTTACCAACACGTCGCAAAGCGGAGGTCCGCTTTGGACGATGTCTTAGAAGGCGCGGGCCCCGGCTATCTCTGGACGGATGGAGGAGACGACGGAATTGCTGAGGATATCGCGAAGTTCTTTGCAGAGAGCGACTCACTGGCAGAAGGACAGGACGAAGTACTCGAGAATCCAGCGGCGTCCTTCGAGAACTACCTCGAGAGTTACAGGAGGAAGGCAAGCAGCGAGGCGAGAAGAGCGAATTCCTTGGGAGAACCCCTGATGCGTGCCCGCCGTCTCATGCAGTATGCGGGGGACTCTGTGCAGCTGCCAAAGACAATGACCGCTTTGCTCGACGCCCTCACTCCGACGAGTGTTGCGGCTGAAAGAGCGTTCAGTAAGGCCCGGCATAGTCGGAAGTACAGTCAGGCGGCCCTCGATGATGACCGTTTTTCGAGGAAACTATGGGTGCAACACTTCTACGAGAAAAGCAAGCCGTGGGAAGCCTTCATGCAGGAACATGATCTCAGTTTGTGATCTTCGAAGGTGCGATCGAAACGCGTGGTGAATTATGAATGAAGATAATTAAAGTCTTGCGACACCCGAAGAAGAGATTCTCTCAAATTGTACTCTCTTCATATACTCAGCTCTCCACATGTAAGATTGGGCCTCTCTGCGCGAATACAGTCTCGCTTTCTCAACGCATGCAATCTGACATCCTGTGATGAGGAAAAACGAGATTACCAGACGAGACAAGAACCTTTCGCTAGCTCGTCGTTCTGTTCTCTAGGCCAGGCTTTCAATCGATCGATCCATCCTCCGAATAAAGATCAATAAAACACAGGTGCAATGGACAATACGCCCCCTTTTGAGCAGGAACAAATAGAATTTCACCATTGTGCGGCCGCATACTCCTCTGTATCTCCAGCCCAGCGTGTTTCACGATCTGATTGCTCGCTATGAGATCTCCAACTTGCGACACAAAATGACCCAAGTGGGAGGTGTCCCGTGCTATAAGTTGAGCTGCCAGACGTCCCCGCAACCCGCAATGGGAGGATCCCCAGGACTCAGAGATCACCGTTTCGTGGTATCTCGCGAGAGCTCGATCCTGCGGATATCAATACATTGCTCTGCAGTCTGCAGACACGGAAGACTCATCACGAATCACGACCGCACGGGTGGCAGAGCGTCGCGAGACTTCATGATCGGAAAACCGTGGAATGAGCTGAGAGGGCGATCCGATTCCGGTCTTGCGCCAGACATAGATCACGGTCATCATTGTCGCCGTCTACCAATCTCTCATATGAAGGTCTTCTCTCGCCTCTCGCGGACTCGTCTCTCGCACAAACAATTCCTTCAATATTTATACCGATAGAGGCTTCTCCCTAGCGTTCTTGAGGAACGGCTCCTCCATTGTCTAACATACGTTTCCAGAACGGTACTCATTAGCAAGCATCATTCCGTTCTTGAAAGAGCCGTTCTTTCGTTGTTGCTTACATCAGCGGGAGACGTCTACTCCAGTGGCCTCCATGAGACAAACGCAGCTCGAAATGTGTCTGCTACCAATGTAAACATCGGGTTGCGGCGGCGGGAGCGCAGCTTATATCCGCAGCGAGATCGCGCTGCGGCACTTTTGACAGCAGTTTCGATAGGGAGGTCGAAAGTTATATCGCGCTGACCCAATCCACCGTGTCGATTACGGGCTCGGAGGTCTGACCGAGAAGTCGTAGCTACTGAGTCGACCATCATTCAACTCGTCACATCCTACGGGGGCTGACTATATTCATGGATCCACTCTCCTCTTGAGGGTTTCGGTCGGCGTACGATGAGATCGACCCGTGTCTTCCGCTGACTAGATTATTGCCACAACTTATCGTGTCAACCATTATCAGACTCATAGCTGCGTGTCTCAGGGCGGAAAATTTTCGGATCGAGATCGGTGATGTTCTCAGCACCGATGACAGCCCGACCGCCACAATCTTCCTTACCCTCCAGAGAGCCAGTTGCAGAGACCGCGGGTCCGTGCGCTATGCAGATGACGTGGAATATACGACGGAATTACAGTCGGCTATGGAAACGCTTACCGCGGAAACCGTAAGACAAACACTTCGAACTGACAGAGTCATCTGAGCCCTGGTAGTTTCTCATCACTGCCGAGCACTCGACGGGTAATACGTATGCTTGGGTTGCTCGGGTAGGGAGGCTATCGAAGTTGTGCATGAATGTTTCGTCGGAATACCGGAGTTCAAATGCGATCCTCAACGCCGAATCCCTCTGTCCCTACCCCGTGCTCGATTCTATGGATAGAGGTGACTCGTCAGCTCTGAGGAAACTAGAAGAAGCACAGCTCCTAGATGAGAAGCTCTCCAAACGGGAATCTCGACCGCGATCATCTGCGTACCTTATAGCGTTCTTTTGTAGCGTGCTTGAGTTACATTATCAGGTGCTACTTCGCTCACAATATAGCGTCGCGTCGTCTCGCGGTATCCCGCCACGGGGATCATTTGCGCGTGAGACTCAGATGAATCACTTACTAAACCGTGGGAGATTGGAATTACCTGGAATTATTGGAATCCATCGCTCGTCTCGGTCGGCGAGACGCCGGCTTGCCTATGCATGGCTGGGCTCTCCCCTGACTTCCCGAAAGGAGATGTGTCAGCGGAGGGACGAATTTTGATTGAGTCTGAGACATTGCACTCAATGATATCGAGGAAGCTCGAAATCAATCATCGATGAAAGTGAGGCATGGATACACTCGCTTCTTTCAGGTATGGGAACGAGATCTTTATACAATATTCTGTACATGATTTAAAAGGACTGGCTCATGAGCTCATATATAGAGATCGAAATCAATCCGCTTTGATGAGTAAAACTTGGGTTCGGAACGTTTTCGCACCAATACACCGTTTCCGAAGTAGCCATTCTGCGTCCATTCCAGCATGTCTGCGGAGGAATAAGGTCCGTATATCTTGGCGTCGTCCTTGTCTTCCCACTTGAATTCCCACGAAACCGTGCTGTCAATCTCTTCTCGGGCTCTACTCCCGCCCGACGTCGAGGGTCCGTCCCCGCTCGTGCTGGCGGGTGTTTCTTCGTCCGCGAACATGTCCATATCTGAAGCCTGAAAAACTTGCATCAGTATGCACCCTTGCCGCGAACAGAGTATCTGAGATTGGACGGATTCAGAAATCGAATGGCCCGTTCACCACGGGAAAGTAGACGAAACGAGCTTGCTTTTTTAGGCGCCAGTGCGAATTGCATCTGCTCATAGGTCCGTTGGTAGATGTCCATATCTCCGGAGGAAAGGATTTCGTCCGCATAACCGCTCATCTTGTCCAGAACGGCTTGTTGATCCGCGTCGAGTTTTTTCTTGTCTCTGGAAAGAGGGGCGATGTTTTGTTCTTGCTCACCGTCCACGTGAGAACATCGGCGAAATCAGAGCTACAAGCTCCCTCATGTCGAGAAGTTTAAGCGCACCGTAACGAACCTCTTGTTCCGACCGGAGTTGCCTCCTCCCAGCCTTTTTATGCATTTGAGAACACTTTCCCCGGGCTTCATCATCTCCAGCATTTTAGAGTATCGGTCCTTGATGTCGAGCTTCTCCCCATCCTCGGAATCAGACGACTCAGCGAGACCTCCCTCCGTTCCTTCAGTCTGCCCCTGCTCGTTCTCCTTGATCTTCACCTGCAATATCTCAAGAGTTTAAAATCCAATACTGCAGGATAGGTGGTTTTCAAATATGTCCTAGGAGGACTGGCTTCGCGACGGCAGAGAATCACGGAATTCTCGCAAGCTCGAGCGCTTGCCCGCGGTGCTCGAACATTCAGATCAGATCAGCCCTTTGATATATTAGGTAGGATCGGGATAACTCCGGATACTTTACTCACCCAATCTATGTTGTCCAGCCAGCTGTCTTTGACCATTTGCGCGTTCTTCTTGAAAATGAAGGTGCCCTCTTTGTCGAAGTGACCGTCTTGCATCTCTTCTTCCATGTTGAAAGCTGTGATTTTGATGTCACCGTCGAAATCAACCGTGGCTTTCTCCTGCCCGTCGAACATTTTGTTCTCCAATGAGGCCACATTATACGTCTCTTTCTCTTGTTCCAGCTCGTCATCTTCATCACTGGAATCGAGAAGAAAATCCGTGAACTCGTGAGCACGTCTTGACTCTTCCTACGCCGGCCGGGAACAATCGTGCTCAAAGAGTATCAGGCTCGACTTGCGGAATCCTCCCCCTCCCTTCCCAGTCGACCATCCCATCCAGCCTCCTTTCGCTCACGGAGACCACGCAGAGAAACAAAGAGCTTCTTTTTACCTGTCAAGTGAGTTCATTTTCGGCTTCAGCGATTCGGGGGCTTCCTCTTCCTCGTCACCATCTTCGCTCGGGAAACGTTGCTTTTTCGACGATTGGGCCAATGATTCCGAGAACTCACTAGCTCGTTTTTGCTGTTGGAGGTCTGTACGCTGCATCGTGATGCCTGTGTCTCTGGAGCTCGACGAGCAAAGTCCACAAAAAACGGGGGTTCAGCAACGAAATTCGAAGGTTCCGATCCTGTCCGCTCGAAAGACGAGTTATTGTTTACATCGCTCTCTCCGGCCATGAGGGAGAGGACACTGGCAGACCGACTGTCAGTGTATACAGCTGGCCGCGCACTGGCACATGGGAGCCAACCAAATAACCGTTTTCCCGAAAAGCTGCGAATCAATACCCTCCTACGGACAGATGGATTCCGTGCCTATGCAAACTGATTTCAAGATGAATGGCTCGACGGGCCAATCCTCATGCTTAAGATTCACTGACAGCCCGCAGCCACACGGACCCCATGCCAAGGAGAGTTTTGGCCTCTCCGAATATTTAAGCATTTCGCGTTTGGAATCAGGAGTCTTGTCGTGCATCATTAATAATTGAATGGGAGACTTATTCACATCCGATGTACAGCAAAATGACATTTTTATTCTTCACATAGACAGTGCAGAATCGATTCTACTGGTATTCGCAAGTTCATGATTATCGGAGGGGCCCTCACGAGGGATATTCCTTGGGATGGAGCAGAGAGGTGTACACGGGTCTCAAGGATTAATCACATTTTCAGGGCTAGGAGTGGCTCATCCTCGGCGAGTTTCGTCGTCTGGATGCTTTGTAAAATGGCGTCGACCAGTTCCCTACGAGAAAGGATAAATAGTTGAAGTGGAGTGCCGACAAAGTAACCACGAAAGCAGCACGAGAACATGCTGCTCCCAACTAAGCGGTTAGATTTCGAATCGAAAGGGGCATCGATCGATTGCACAGGTCGGAAGCTACTCACTTTATGCTTTCATTCTTCTCATGGAGGCCTTGGAAGTCTTTCTCTTTCTTTTCGAAGAGATAACTCCGTACGTCATGGTCAGAAACGAGACAGTTCAAAAGGAAAGCAGCCTTGGTTCGAACTTGGACAGATTCATCGCTCTCACACACCAACTTGGTTAAGACGTCCACAAGGCCTTCCTCTCTGTCCTGGGTTGCAAACAAATGATCCGGAACATCAGGACTCGGATTCCCTCGTATGATTGCTGCAATGAACGACGGTGCGAAGTTAGGCTCCACGGCTATGAAATCATGACCTCTGGCCGCGGAGCCGACGGACCGGAGCAACCGAACCGATAACTGTAGGAATTTCTTCGACAAGACGGGAGTGATGCCTGAGGCTCCGAGAAATCGTTCACACATGTTCGAAGAGGGCAGGTTGGTTGGTGTTACTCACCGGATAGAGCGTAAACAGCTTTAGATTTCGCTTGAGCTGAGTATTCATGGCTCTTCACGATCTCAGTCAGTCTGGGTATCAAGCACATCGCCTCCGATTGACATCCTGGAGAGTTCTGAGCGAGCTCTGCAAGAATCGAGCACAACGGAGCCATCGCTTCCTTGGTTGCCATTGAGAAAATGGTTTTGATTGACCCCACGGAGTTCTTCCGCTCATTGTCTGTAAGGACTCAATCGATTAGTAGGTGTTCATGTGAATTCAATGATCTCCTGGCGTCATGCGAGAGGCTCTCAAATGAGCGACTATCTCTATCAACAGCTCACCGTCAGCTCTGTCCAATAGCTCCGCTTCTTCTGCTATGTGCTGCAGCTCGCTCGCGACAGCTTCCTTCAAGTGCGCGGTGTTACCCTTTTCAATGAGAACGGCGAAGCTCCTGAGGACATCCGCAATACTCCTGTAGATCGGTCGGTCATCAGGATCTTTCACTCCATCGGTCGAGGACGATGCCATCTGGCCGATGACTTCCTTCAACCACTCACGGTCCTGTAGAGAGCGATTTTGCGTCAGTTGAGCGGGCTTTGAGTATAGGACATGATTCAGAAGTCAAGATCGAATACCTCTCGCCGACAGCATTGTTATCTCCTGGTAGTCTTCAATTTGAGCGCTGTTATCACCTCCGGAGGGATCCCCTTCCCAGTGAAGTGAAAACTCTGGGATCACCTACCTGGTCACTCATGGGAGCTGCTGGGTTCGCCCCGGGCTGAATGTGGGACACAGCAAAACGAAAGGCTCGAGGAAGATCGCCTTGATCACCCATATCGATCCGAGGAGATGAGAGGGAATGCTCACTACACAAATTCGAGGTCTTATCGACTTCACTGGACGATTGGTGTTTCGAAGAGGATAGATAGCTCCACTGTTGACGTTCTATTCTCACAAGAAACGCATGCTCTTCCCCACGATCAATTCTCGTCGACGGGAGTTCGGTAAAACCCAACTCTCTGACTATCTTGTACAATAAGCCTGGGTAGCAATCGGGATTTTTCACTAATAATACGCGCAGGCCAATGCTACGAGCGGAAGTGAACGGTGGGACCCGCAGGTCTTATATAGACGTAAATGCTCGGAAGGCGGAGAGTCCGGAATCCGCGAGATTGCGCGATGCGAGAGCTCTCGACCTTGCTGAAGGAATCGAAATGAATCAGATCTCAGAATGTCTGAAGAACTATCTCGGGAGGCTCTTTCGGCTGATCGTCCTCGCCGAAACGATGTGATGTGTCTACGAATCGCCAGAGACCTTAATTGACGGAACAACAAACTCGGTCAACCCAGAAGCGTCTGCTATTTTCCTGAAGTTTCTCGACGGCGCGACGAGAATCGAGAGTCCAAGCCGCTCTGGGAGAGGCACAACTGTAGAAGGAAACTACTGCATAGATAATCTTCCTCGAATATTGATGGCTCCCAGCGGTGTCTGAACGGCTCAGTGGTGGAATAGAGCCGACGGGAATAATTGTATGTTCCTCTGTGTGAAGCATATCTCGGAGAATCTACGTCCCATCTGCTCCGCCGCTCTCAACTCGAATAAAACTACCATTGTAATTTTCAAGCTTTCGAGTTTCTCGAAGATGTCTACCGAGAAAGCCACCACTTCGTCGGGGACACTCTCACTGAATATCCTGGTCCATCCGCGCCAGAAGAACAATCCCGTTCTGAACTTCGTCAAGAAAGTTCGTAATATATGCGACCGACTGTCGGTTTCTCTCGAAACAGAATCTCTTCCACAAACACAACCTCGTCTGGTTAACCCCCGCTTATACCCGAACACGAATCACGGAATTCTAAGCGCCTTCTCCGCTACCCTTCGCAGGTCGCTTATGAGTTCAGGGATGATCTTCTAGCAGATTTCGTCGTTGGGCAGAGCGCGTGCTGTTTATTCCTCTCGCTCAGGTACCATCAAGCTCAACCGCAGTACATCGTCAAGCGCCTGAATGACCTACGGAATCTTTTCACGGTTCGAATTCTGTTCGTACAGGTAGACATCAAGGTGAGTTCAGAGAGCGATGAGGACCCCCTGAGGATATTGTAAGCGAAGAGACGGATCTTCCGCACAGAAAAAAGGATCGAGGTAAACATGAGAGTTTCCGTTCCAGGATGCTCCCCCGGTCATAAGGGAAATGAACCGAATGGCTCTCCAGGCGCGTGTCACGCTGATGCCAGGATGGAGCGCCCAAGATATTGGGCAATATTTGGAACTGTATAAAATTTTAGAGAACAAACAGCCAGACCTGATCAGAGAGAGAATCGAAAGTGAGTTCAGTTTCCAGTTCGTGGAAAGCGCTTTTGTTCGAAAGGACTTTCCTACTGCCGTCCTCGGAACTAGGCGAATTCGATTCATGTGCCGAAAATAAATATGCTTTTTGCAGTGGAACCATTGACGCGAGCGATAGCGGCGATAACCACCATCAAATCCGTGAACAAGACCGACGCGATGGAACTTTTAGAGAATTTCGGCTCGCTGAAGAAAATCGCCGAGGCATCAATCGAGGAAATGTCGGTCGTGCCGGGAATCGGGGAACGGAAAGCCAAACAGATCTACGAGACCCTCAGGGAGCCCCTCGTCTATAAGTAATGTCCCCTTCCCGCTCCACCTTATCTATGTAGAACTCCTGTGATCTGTACTTCTAAGCCAAATGCGCCATTGTATGATGTGTTCCTGTTCAAGAATGAGTGAAATACATGATGTACATATGGAAGAAGCTGATGATCGCGTAAATCCAATAAGCTCTGCCTGGAGTAGCAAGAAGGGAAGAGGAAACGAGCCGAAAGGAGACAGCAGAAGTTCGAAAAGTCCCTCTCCTCCTAGCAATTTGCTCATCGAAGTCTTTACAAGGATGTAAAACATCCTTGCAGAGACTTTCTTTTCGCTCTGGACTCAAGTACTTCGCCGAGAAGATAGCGATCTTCCCAATGGAATTTTAAGGGGCTCATTGACAAATCGAAGAGTGCATTTTGGTAGGCTTAGAAACGAAATCGAGGATCACTTGGAGTCTTCAGAATAATGTCAAACACTCGATTGTGTAGACAGAAGGAAGTCTCCCATTTTCGTTTCCAGATGCGATTCGGAGAGCCGTTGGGAAGAAGCCTTCCCCCGAGTTCCTAAGGGGGCTCTTAAGAGTAAACCAAGCCAAGAGCCACTAGGAGACTGTCGGGATGCAGTTCGGTGCAGCATGAAGTCCTGCTTCCCGCGTTCCGGGCGTCGAATTCTTGAGTATGAGATCGAGGCACGAGCATCGAGCCCGAAGTCGGCTAGTCTGCTTGGCTCGCATCTGGATTCCGACTGGACACGATTATGCAATCGAGAGTCGTCACCACGCCACGCCCCCGCGAGAGACTCAATGGTCACCGCCTTAGGCAAGAGCATGGAGGGGAAGCTCGTGGACCGAAATCCTGAGAATGAATCGGCACTGCCGCTCCTGAGCCTCCGAGAGGCTTCAGGTCTTCCAAGTCACCGAATGGTGACGAGGCTAGCTACCTTCCATCCGGAGTCTTCCTCTTCGGCCTAGCAAGAGAAATTATGAGCACTATGGATGCCCGCATTCAAGTGACCTTTCAAGTGAAACACGCTCAGCAGTCCAGGCATTTTTCTTGGGTGAGAGAGGGTTTCTCCTCTACGTTTCTCCTGCTCCTACCACCGCAACTTCATATGAAACGAACGCCGCCCAAGTAGTCTAGCGCGTTTTGTTTTGTTTATATTTCCAGAGCATTTCGTCGCTTGCTCTACCTTCGAAGAGGCGTCAGGGCACGCTGCTTTACCTCCATGTGTCCACATGCCCGATTCTCTATGAGCCCGGTCGGAAAATTCGAAACGGGGTCTCAATTCTATAAAATTCGCAGTCGTAAGGAGGCTGCCCTGAGTACCCTGAGTGAGGAATCCTAAAGACAGGGAGTTGCCCCATGGATCTCCCTTAGTCGGGCTTGACATGCAATACGACTGAAAAGATGAAAGTTATTCATGGTGTTCTTTAAGGCATGAGACGCAGCGGCCTGATGACATGACGGATCCATTGAGCTGTCGAAGAGACACCGCGGCGGTTTTCTCCGCGACGGCTTGCGAGACAAATTGCACGTTTCATAAGGGCCATGAAGCATAAATGCGTCGAACAGATCCCATGCAACTGCGAGACAATACAGTCAGTACACACCCACAAGTTCCTAGGGCTTGTTCTAGATCATGACTTGAAATTTTGCTCTCATGTCAACTCAATCTGCTCCAAGATGCGCTCAGGTATCGCGGTTCTCGCGAGAATACGCAACGTGGCCTCTCTACCACTTAAAAGATCAATATACTTTGCTCTCGTGGAATCCCATGTCCGGTACATGATCCACATATATGGAGGCACGACGACCACCCTCTTGTCGAAGATTCACATTCTACAAAAGAAAGCGGTGAGAATCATCCTGAACAAGGGGCACAGGGAGCACTCCTCTGCCCTCTTCAAGAGTCTGAATATTCTGGAATTCAGGAGGCTATACGCCCTTAATCTCGTGTATCCCCTGAATCCTATACGAACCCTCCTCCCAAGACCAGAGCACGAGCACCAGACCCGCTTCAAAGCGGAGGGTCGCCTGGCTCTCACTGAACTCATCAAACTCGTAATAGAAGAACCCCTTTCCCAAACTTCATTATTCTGTACACAACCTGCCTCCCGACGTTCGCAACTATACAGACAATCACCTAATCTGTAGAAGAGAATTCGTCAGAGAAGTAATCAAAAATTACTACGCCACAACTACTTGCGATGAAATTAGAAGAATCCTCTGCTAGCTCTGAAACTGATATCCATTAGGTA